GAGACACTGGAAGGTGGGATTTTTTTCAGCACGCTTCTGGCTCGTCATACCTCTTACTGTGAGACACAGCTGGCTTGTGGGAATTGTAATATTTGACAGCATCTGTATGGTCCCTACAGTTTTAGGGTTGGGATTACATTGGTTTTAGGTCTTTTCTATTACTTGCATGACTATACAGGTTCTTACTGGATATGTCCCCATGCTATGCTTGTACCTACTTTAACTGATGCAATCCTGTGTTGTCGTAAACCACTACAAGTTCTTAACCGAAGGAAGGAAGGAAATTTCAGGGGAGCCCAAAGTAAGGTTGGGTGCCCCTTACTTTAGCTTGATCTGAAGACTCAGTCCTTGACAGTTGTGCGCTCCAGCTGGTACCTATTGGCCTGACCTGGATAGCTCACCCTGGCCTGATAGCATCAGATCTCAGAAGCTAAGCAGGGTCGGCCTTGGCTAGTATTTGGATGGGAGGCCTCCAAGGAAGACGGGTCCTGACCCAGAGGAAGGCAGTGGCAAACCAGCTCTGAAACGTCTCTTGCCTTAAAAATAAGTCTAAACAACAAGGGGGAAAAACTAGTGTCACAGAGGTCCCAGATATACAAATTCCACTAGTAGAAACACCATCTGAAATTGCCAAAATATAAACTGTATTTAACAAATATAAAGTTGGTGATGTCACAACAACAAAATTTAGGGCGTAAGATGTAATGTTTCCTCCTTAGAAGATAAGACAGTAAAGTCCATGTAATCAGTGTCACTTTATAGAAGGGGGAGGAGGAGGAGGAGGAGGAAGAGGAGGAAGAAGAGGAGGAGGAGATTGGATTTATACCCCGCCCTTCACTACCCAAAGGTGTGTCAGAGGGGCTTACAATCTCCTTTCCCTTCCCCTCTCCACAACAGACACCCTGTGAGGTCGGTGGGGCTGAGAGAGCTCTGGCAGAAACTGCTCTTTTGCCAGCCCAGGACAGCTCTTATCAGAACTACGGCTTGCCCAAGGCCATTCAGCCAGGTGCAAGTGGAGGAGTGGGGAATCAAACCCGGTTCTCCCAGATCAGAGTCCGTGCACTTAACCACTACACCAAACTGGCTCCCACGTTTTAGGGTTGGTAGGAGGAGTCCCCATAGTCATAACATTTTCCAAACAGCCTTTGCAAAGACGCCCGTTCAAGATCCTTAAAAGACGCGCTTCCTTCGACTTCTTCAGTTTGCCGGCTGTGTAGGTGGAACCTGATGTCAACAATTTCAACAGACCACAGGGAGAACCTATGATTCGCTTTTTACACTATGAATGTCGTCACAACCCCAGCTCCGAGAGCCGGCTTGCTGAGTCAGTATCACAGCGCTCGCCTCAGACTCAAAATTGACCGGTGGCGTTGACACGCAGCCACTGCGGTGGCCCGCCTTCCGAGCCTGAGCCAGCTCTGCTTCAGGTGTGACCGTGGGGGGGGGGGGGGGGGGGTTGGAGAGCAGACGGAATACACAAGACCCCCTCCCCCCCAATGTGAAACGCATACCAAAGGAGGCAGAGCTTGGCAAGGACGCTAGATAAAACCGTACCGCTCTGTCTGGATGAGAAGAGACCCCCACATGTTCATTTATGGAGTAGAAAAGAGCCAGGAGTCCAGTAGCACCTTAAAGGTAAAGGTTCCCTTGCTCGAAAGCCAGTCGAGTCCGACTCTAGGGTTGCGGTGCTCATCTCCGTTTCAAAGTCGAAGAGCCAGCGCTGTCCGAAGACGTTTCCGTGGTCATGTGGCCGGCATGACTAAACACCAAGGCGCACGGAACGTTGTTACCTTCCCACCAAAGTGGTACCTCTTTATCTACTTGCAATTTCTTGCTTTCGAACTGCTAGGTTGGCAGTACGTGGAACTAGAGATGGGAGCTCACTCCGTCATGCAGCACCCGAGTCTCGAACTGCTGAACTACTGACCTTCCACAGCCTGCAGTTCAGCGTCTTAACCACTTGAGCCACCGCAGCTCCTTAAAGACTGACAAAAATTTGTGGCAGGGGAGGAGCTAAAAGTAAGCAGCGACTCACGAAAGCTCCTCCCCCGCCACAAATTTTGTTAGTTTTTAAGGTGCTACTGAATGGACTCTTGGCTTTTTTCTGCTGCTACAAGTCGGACTAATGCGGCAACCCGTTTTTATCTATTCGTTTAAGGATTACACCAAAAGCTTGGATACACCTGCCTTCCTGCCTGAGCCCAGGCATCTTTCAGAACGCCATTCCGCGAGAAAGGACAATCGCTCGTGACCTCTCAGCGTGGAGAATCAGAAAGCATCTAAGCTCAAACGACTAAAGCAGAGGTGTTCGCAGCCCGGTTCGGCAAAGTGACCCAACCGCCAATCTGACGGCAGCAGTGCAGAGAAGGGGTGGATCTGATCGGGGCCAGGACGGGACCCTTCGCATAAGCCGCTCCAAGCTTTTATTAAAGGAAAGGCCGGATACAACTTGCTCAGAACACCCTAAAAGATGGCACTGGAAAACACCCGCGTATCCTAACAGCAGCTGACTGACAGAAAGGCATCGTGATCACTGCTCCCTCTAAGCTGTGGAGTCTTGGTGAGCAAAAATTCTAATTGTGAGCTCCTGGCATTAAAGTTGTGAGTGAGCGATTTGGCTGCTGCATAAATCAGTTTGCTCTGGAGCCATCCCTTCCTGAGCAGAGACAAAAAGGTGTGAGCCGGAGGCTAAAAAACTGAGCTAGCCCACACTAACGCAGCTTAGAGGGAACACTGACTGTAGTAACTCTATAAAGAGCAGCCAGGAAAGCTCAGATCCCAAACCTTTCCTGCACATGCTCCCGTGAGCCACCTCCCTCTTTAACTCAATCCACTCCCCCTCCCCACAACCAATCAGGGCATGCCCGCTTCCCTCGGAATCTCGGTTATTTTTAAAAACCTGGGCTGTTCCATTTACGCTGTTTGTTACTGCTGCTTACTTGGCTTTTTGCACGACCGTTTTTAGCCGCGAGCCACCTCAGACAGTCCTGGAGGAGCGGCACATGTTTCTCCGATAAATAAAATTAATAAAGCCTTTTATCTCGCTTGGGTGCATTTCTGCAAACGGCGTTCCAGAGAGGGTTACGAGGAGCGGGGTGGGGGGGGGGGGGGGGACAGCTTTGTTTTGTTCCGAGTGAAACTTCAGACGCTGGAAGGAAGTCAGCACACGGCTTCGATTCTCGCCTCGCCGAAATGGCATCCGAGGCCCCAGCCTAGATTCGTTTGACCGCTGGCCAGCTGCGAATTCCGAATTAACGCACGCTTCGCTGAGAAGAATCAGGCCTCGCACGGACAAATGGAGCATACGTAAGAGCCTCGCCCCGTGCTTCGGAGCAAGACACCAGCCGCTGAGAGCCAACGAGCAATTCCAGGAAGTGGACGCCGTTCGCTCGTCTTGTTGAGTCCCTGAAAACACATTCTCCTCTCGTGAAGAGGGCGGCAGAGGGCCGAAACGCCTCCTCGCTCCGAGCCTGAGCAAACCGGAACTCTGCATGCCGGGAGAGCTCCCGTTTTGACCCGAGGAGGGGAAATTCTTAGAACCAACTACCGTCCTTTCCCTGTTTTTCCCCCCCGAAGTCCTGAGAAGCCAATGTTCATGACAGGCGAGCGTTTTTCTAAGTATGCTCTTCAAGCGGCAGAGGAAGGAGAGTCTGGCCCATAACAACACACACACCCCAGCCCTGACCTGGATAGCCCAGACAAGCCCGATCGCGTCAGGTCTCAGGAGCTAAGCAGGGCCCACCTGGACAAGCACTTCGATGGGAGGCAGAGGCAGGCTATCGAGCCACTTCTCTGAACGCCCTCCGCTCCCCAGTAGGAGTCGCCAGAGGTCACCGAGACTTCCAGGCACAGGCATGCATGCATGCGCACACACAAAGATGCAAAAAAACAAGAACACCCCCCCACCTTAATTCCCAGTGCTTAATAGCACCATAATTGAGCCCTGCTGGATAAGACCAGCATCCTGTCTCACGCAGTGGCCAGCCAGTCCCTCTGGATGACCAAAACAACAGGGCAAAGAGGCTGAGGCCTTCATAAGAAGACCCCTGCTGGGTCGAACCAGGGAGGGCCCGTCCAGTCCAGCATCCTGTCTCACGCAGTGGGCAACCAGTTCCTCTGGAGGGCCAACAACAGGGCACAGAGACTGAGGCCTTCGTAAGATTAGAAGAGCCCTGCTGGGTCATACCAGTGAGGATCCATGTAGTCCAGCATCCTGTCTCACACAGTGGCCAACCAGCTTCTCTGGACAGCCAACAACAGGGCAAAGAGGCCAAGGCCTTCCCCTGATAAGAACCTCAGAAGAGCCCTGCTGGATCAGACCAGTGAGGGTCCATCCAGTCCTGCCTCCTGTCTCACACAGTAGCCAGCCAGCTCCTCTGGAGGGCCAGGAACAGGGCATAGAGGCCGAGGTCTTCCCCTGAAAAGAACATCAGAAGAGCCCTGCGGGATCAGACAGGGAGGGTCCACCTAGTCCGGCCTCCCGTCTCACACAGTGGCCAGCCAGCTCCTCTGGAGGGCCAGCAGCAGGGTACAGAGGCCGAGGCCTTTCCCTGATGTTGCTTCCTGGCTCTGGGACTCAGAGGCCAACTCTGAGGTTCTTATTTCCCATCCAATTACAGTTGGCCTACTATTACCCGCCACCAACGAGCCAGGGAACCTCTCACAGCCAGCCAATTTCTGATTTGAGCTGCGGACACTATTTTAATGTTTCCTACCATGTTTTAATGTTTAACTGTATTTATTGCATTTGATATGTTGTTACCCGCCCTGAGCCCGCTTGCGGGGCGGGCGGGCTATAAATACGGAAAATAAATAAATAAGATCCCAGTCCCCAACAAAAACTGTGCTTCATTCTCAAAGAACAGAAACAGAAAGCTTTGAAACGTTCGCTTCGAACGTTAGCTGCAAAGACACTTCAGAGCAGTTAAAGGGGCAAGAGAGGCCGCGTAGAGGCATGCGCCGACCCACCCGCCCCTTCCCCGGCCAGGCAGGAGCATTACCGTGGAGAGCGATGGCTTCCCGGAAGGGCTGCAAGTCCGCCTCGACGGACGAGCTCGTCTCTGCCGAAGCCGCTCGGTTAGGGGATACTACAGTCAGTCTGGGGGGAGCTCTAGAGTTCCGGGGCGGCGGCGCCTTCCCGCACAGGAAGCTGATTAAGTCTTCTCGGCGAATAGTTCTTCTGCGCTTTTTAACCCAAGCCAACACGTCCTTATTGCGGCGCTGGTAGCCGATGTGGATCCCGACATCAAAGCTCCGCTGGTGGGCATCCACGCTCTCTGCAAGGGAAGGAGAGGCGACAGCGTTAGGGGCGGGCAGGCGGGCGACGCTCCCGGTCCGGGATACCAGGTCAGGTGTCCGCTTGCTTCCAACGGCAGACGCCGCTTGTACGTGTGCCATTTACAGCGCTCTGGAATGAACACGGACGCACGTGTACCCACCACGACGACTAGGGAAGACAAAGGTAGTCAAGATTCATTAGCGCAAGTTTTGAGATCCGCTAATAGCCACCACCAGGAAGGAAGGAAGGTTTACAATCATTTTGATGCATTATCCAAGGACAGGAGGATCTTATCTAAGGCCCATTATTGGCCCTCCACTCATGGTTCACCCCCACACACCTCCTTATCTGAAACTGATTTGGGGACACAGAATCGTAGAATCTTAGCGTTGAAAGGGGCCTCCCAGGGTCATCTAGTCCAACCCCCTGCACAATGCAGAAAATTCACAAATACTCCTCCCAAAGAGACCCCATTGACCCCCCTGCTCCATGCCGAGAAGATGGCAAAAAACGTCCAGGACCCCTGGCCAAACGGGCCTGGAGAAAAATGGCTTCCTGACCCCAAAGTGGCGACCGGCATTTCCCTGGGCGTGTCAGAAAGGGCCACGAGAACTAAGCCCTGAGGCAACCCTCCCTGCCCTCCCTCTCACGATCTGCCCAAGTTCACAGGATCAGCATGGTTGTCAAGTGGCCATCTAGCCTCTGCTTCAAAACCTCCAAAGAAGGGGAGCCCCACCACCTCCTTCCGAGGAAGCCTGTCCCACTGACTACGACTGGAGAAGCCACAGCAAAAGTCACCCCCACCC